AATTGGCAGCCGGCGAACTGGCAGTGAATTGGCAGACAACTTTACCTTGGTAAGAATAGAAATCATTTTTGCTATAAACCAAAATCATAAATTCCAATTCGTTTATTGCTTGCAGTAATGCAATATAAATTTGACGCGCTATTGTTATTTTCTCTAAATCAATTCGATGTAGAATTTTATTCTGGTCAATTTTCGATTGTGTGGTGTGTTTGGCTTTACTACGCAAACAGCCTTTGTTAGAGTTGTCACCCCTCGTGCTTTACTCAATTTTAACCCCAGCAACAAATACAGTACCGATAAATATCACTTCTCCGTGGCTAAAACCCTTAGTTGATTATTGTTCATTCTTACCTTCAAATATGACACACCACATGCAGTTCAAGGCGATGAAAGCTACGATTGCGAATCTTGCCATTTTGCGTCGCATAACTTGGATCGTTTCTGCGACTGATGCAAACCCGGAAGTCGAAAGTGCAAATCAAATGACCTCAGCCTCGTCGCCATGTCACATCAAATATCAGTCACGCACTCATTGTGCTCACGCCATATTTTGGTGAGAAATACGTCACGGGAAACGTATTTCTTTGTATTTTCCAACATAGCCTGCGTAACAGGCGCCTGTTTTTTTAGGGCGAAAGGAGAAATATCTCGCGGCCTGTAAAAAAAAATTACGTCGCCTGCTACGCAGGCTATGTCTGTACAACATGACCAACATGGCACGGGGTTTAAAAAATGTTTGCGAGTTTATTTCGGATATAGCAAGTTTAGGTCTTGAAAAAAGTTTAGCAGTAGCTGTTTAAAAAATTTTAAAAAAAACGGAGAAACCTATTGAAAGAGTTCTTGGCCACTTTAAAATGCTAAACTAAAAATCTTGACAACGGTTGCCATCTGTGTCATAGCTTTGTGGTACGAGAGACTTGCAGTTTTGAAAATGTTTTCGAGATTATTCTGCTTTGAACAATCTACTCTGCTTTAGAAAAAGACGGACACGTAGCGTTTGTGCCATTTCTTTGCTGTCGTTACACGACTACAACATGAAACTTCCTAATCTCAAATTTTATGGACTAGAAAACAGGGGACAACTCAGATTTTTCTTCTTTTTCTTACCTTAGGTAAAGACTTTTAAAACTCAACTCCAGAAAAATTCATGAACATTTGATAAATTTAACGAGGCAGAACAAGAGCGATGAAGTTTGAAACTGCGGGAATGCACTTTTTTTGAAGTGAGGTTTTCGCCACCGTCGTCGTCGTGGTTGCTTTAGCACCCTATTGTCTTTTGAACTAGGCCTGATTGTTATCCAAATTCTCCCCGTCACTACTGTCAGGACCACAGGGTATGTATGGAAAATAGTGTGGAGAATATACGTGATAATATTGAGGATAGAAGGGTCTACAACAATGCAAATGAATGAGCTATTATAGGTATATACCGTAAAATTCCGAAAATAAGCCACTCCATGTATAAGCCCCTCCAAATATAAGCCCCCAAAACTCGTAACGCAAAAAACCCTCCGTTAAATCGCCCCTCCAAAGTACAAACCCCCCGGGGGTTTGTACTTGGAAATTACCCTCAAATACAAAGTAAAACAAAGAGAAACGGTAAATTTACTTCCAACTATAAGGCTAGCCCAATCAATTTTCAAACGCAAATTTTCCTCCGTACATAAGCCCCTCAAAAAGCACCTTTGAAAAATATAAGCCCCGGGGCTTATTTTCGGAATTTTACGGTAGCTTGCTCGAGCGCCTTACTATACTGTGAACACCGGCGAACAGAAACCAGTAACAAAAAGAATAACTTTAAATATTACTGCAAGTAAAGAGTTTGACTGCGCTTGTCGACAACGTTACCATTTACGCCCGAATAAAAAAATCATACAACGGGTCGAAAGAAGTTTTAAATCTGGGCCGGGTTGTTCAAGGCCGATTGGCGCTAATCCGGGGTTGAATTTTAACCGGCTTCGTTTTTCTTTTCCATTAAAAGCCTCTTTTCAGATAATTTTCTCTATTATTTTTAGACCATCCAATTATCAAACTGTAGACAAAAAGAATTCAACTCAATTTGCTTTTTTACACTTTCATATCTGACTTCAACATTTTGCGCTAGCCCTAGATTATCTTAACCCAGCTTCGAACAACCCGACCTAGGTGTTTACAAACGCAGAAAAAGAAAGCTACCACAGAAATGTGAATTTGAAACGAAGCTTCTCTTGCAGCGGGGCCATGTTATGGAATAACTTGCCCAAAAACTTGAAAAATGCTGCATCCGTTAAGCATTTTAAGCGAAATATCAAGAAGGTAGCTGATAAATCGGATTCCCACACGGCAATCATGTAAAGCAGTTGTAATTAGTTTTAGTTTTTAACTTAAGCTTCACTGATGATTTCCCGTGTTTCAATAAAGATTTACATGCATACATACATACATACATACATACACACATACATACATACATACATGTAGGTAATGGATCCGCTTGTTTTTTGTTCTGACAAGACGCACGGTCTTAGTACGGGAGTTATGCTCTTTCTGGGTTATGGGCTCCTTCGAGACGCTATTGGGGCGTTTCCTCGAGGCAGGGGGACGCATAAGTTTTGAGGTGTTCGAGAAGATTTGAGTCACCACCATTTATAATCAAATACAAAAGGAAGCACAGTTGGGCAGACGGATTGAAATAAGGACGCCTCTGATCATAACAATATATCTTCCTTCAAAAACAAATGGAGCCTTCTTAAACTTCACCCCTCGGACTAATATATTTGCTGAAATTAAATAGCTTCAGAAGTAACAAGTGAAGCAGAGACAAATGCAAATGCAAAGCACGTTTTAGTAGGACAGACTCTTTATGTTTTTGTTGTTTCGTTGTTTTTTTTCTTTTGCAATTATTAGTCAAATTTGTAAAACATTTTTAGGTTTACGTAGCTGTAAATGCTCTAACATCGTATTTTGCCTTTTTCTCTTGTCATGTTAATGTAAGTTGTTTCTATTTTCCCTCCATGTAAAAGTAAGTATTGTCATAAGAAGTGTTGTAATCAAATAAATGTTATGAGCATTTACCAAGTCACTGAATAGCAATTTTCGCGCGTTTTGATTGGCTCTCGTAACTCGGAATATCCTCGGTTATTCACTGTTTTGCGACCGGAGCCAAGATGGCGTCTTCTTTCGAGACATTTTCGGAAGACGAAATTTGTGCGATAAATGAAGCAGTCGTACAAACAAATTTAGTTTATTGGTAGGTAGAAAATTATTTTCAAGCTGAATTTGCAACAACATCGTAAAATGCACTTGACAAAAAATCCCCGAAATGTTTGTAAATTGTAAACAAAGTTCATACTAAGTGACGTTTTTAATTTACAAAAAGTGTCTTTTTGTCAGTTTTATCCAATACTGATACAACTATCCCCCTCAGGGTCGGTGAACAGCGCCAGCCATATACCTCGACGCTTCGCGTCTCGGTATATATTTCAACCACTATTCACCTATAATAATAAAGGACGCGTAGGTGGCATTACAAACAAACTGAACTATAGACAGCCGTGACACAGCCCCTTTAATTGACAGATTTTTCCAGTAAGTCGAATTCTAACTAATTGTAGTATTTTTGCTTATTCTCTTACTGTTTTACCAACTCGTTAATGCTTCTCCAGCCGAGTTTAACTCGAGATACATCCGAGACACCTTTCAAGAATGGGGTTGCTATTGGTCATTCGCATACATCACTCGGACAAAATTTCGGATGTTTCTTTAATAAGCTTCAGATGTTGTCAGATGTTTATGTATTTCGGACGCACCCCGCGTCAGCTGACATCAAAAAGTGGTCTCTTTCAAACTAGTTTTTTCATTTTTAACCGTTTGAGCTGAGACTTTGCACGATAATAGAACTTTGCATTCCCAACAATCGTGTGTTTTTGGATTTTTTATTTTAACGGTTTTTGGCGCGAAAATGACGTCATAAGATTGACAGCAAAAAAAAGTTTTCGACTTATGGCGTAAAAAAATAAAACTTTTAAAAGAACTTACAGAGATGAGCTCAAATGCGAAAAAAGTATTTGTAAAGCTTAATTGGTTGAAAAGTTATTGAGCTGTGAATTTCGTATTTTCCGCCATTTTGTTACTATTTTTAGAAATTTGGTGATCTTTAGAATGTCATATCTTCTTAACCAAATGAGGTTTTCAAAAACTTTTTTCACATTCAAGTTCTTCTCTGAGTACTCTTTCAAACTTGCTAACTTGTTATGGCATAAGTTGAAACTGTCAATCTTATGACGTCATTTTCGCGCCAAAAACCGTTAAAATCAAAAATCCAAAAACATACGATTGTTGGGAAAACAAAGTTCTATTATCGTGCAAAGTCTCAGCTCAAACCGTTAAAAATTGAAAACTAGTTTGAAAGAGATCACTTTTTGATGACAGCTAACGTGACGTTTAACCTTCAGACACGTTTGCCGCATTTGAACAAACTTCGAACAAACTTAACATTTTAGAGACATTGCTGAGACATACCTAAAGCAAATTTGAACCTAGAAAAAACATCTATTACACTGTAGCAGACTGTGAAAATCTGTGCAAATGATACTTCTATAGCTATATCATGTTTATCGTTAGTTCTTAAATACGTGATGGCGTCGCCCTTTACGTTCTTGTACTGTACAGTAAGAATTCGTTCCGAAAAAATCGTCCGAAATTTTTTGCAAGTTTTGAATGTAGTCGCTACTTTTTTAAGTCGTCAAACAATGTTTCTTTAGCTTATCAACCAAGAAGCGTTGCGTGACAGTGCAAACGAAGTTTTAAGTCACGTGACCAGCAGCCACTGAAACTTCTTGGAAGTAAGGGATTTTTTTTACAGACGAAAAAGGTTCAACTTCCTTAGGACTGATTTGGGACAGCAACATAGCCGCCATTTTATTGTTTCAGGACACCAACATGGCGGCGGACGTGACGTCCGATCATGAATTTGTGTTTTGAGTTTCCACTGGTGCCTTGTGATAATGAATCCTCTCCTCTTAAGACAACACTGGCCTCGTCTCATCGTAATTGCGCTGCATCATACAGTTCGAAAAAAAATGACGCAAGAAGGCACAGACAAACAACACAACCCGAAACACCTGGGAAAAGACAAGAGCAAACAGAAAAAGGCAAAAAACCATGGGTACTGTGCCAAGAATGACAATTTCCACTTGTTCGCAGAAACTCCACCAAGATTGAAAATGAACGCTTAGTGGTACAGCTAATGACAGAAAAGAAGCAAAAAACACGTTTACAGTCCCTAGCAAAACTAGCGACAGTAGAGAAATGGTCTCGAGCGTGTTTGCCATTCTGTCACGAAATGGATGAGTCAGGACATGATGGAGAAGAAACAAAACACAGAAAAAGGTCATAGTGAGAAGACGAGAGACTGGGTCGAGGACAAACGTTCTCAGGATGATGAGAATTAGTCGGCGTCCAATCATAACGCTTTCCCAGCTCAAAGACAGTTTGCTGCCATCTTCTGGTCTCTTAAAAGGTTCGTAAAGAACTCTCTCAACAAATATCATGATCATAGAATCTTGATCGGTGGATGAGTCTACGTTGTCATTTCTCTCTGTAAAAAAAGCAAACACCCAGTATAGTAAATAAGGTAAAGGAAAACAACAGGCAAGGAGGAACTTTTCAGCAGAAATGGATCCTCGGAACAACTTAATTGGTCCCCAAAGCAGGACAAACACGAAAGGTGCAAATGACATCGCGATAAAAACAATCAAAATGTACTGCCACCACTGAAAACACTCCACGTTTCCATCATAAAACAATCGTTTCTCTGAACCAATGGGAACGCATCGTAGCAGGTCAAAACTCACAGAAACAAGAGTTGCGTATCCTAGCAATATGGTTTGTAGAATACCGCCAATATAAGGACCAACGAATGGGGCTCCTTGACCTCGAAACTTCTGAATTCCCCAGTGAACAATGTAAATAATGCCAATCATCAAATATGTGCCAATCACCTGAGACGCACAAAATAACTGCTTAGTTACCACGGTGAGGCCAGGAAAGGGACAAACTAATTCACCCAATGAAAATTTTTGCTGAAAGTTAAACATCCCAATCAAAGGCTCGACAAATTTAGTTTTGAAGATTTGTTGTGAGGAGTTGGAGACCAGCAAAATGTCCGCCGCCTGGTAGAGGTAGAAGACCATCTTAAGATAACCTCTTGAAAAGTTTCTTTCTTCGTTCTCTATTTCATCTTTTTTAAACCAGAATATTTGGCGCCTTGTCCAGGCCGCAAAAGGAGGCCTAAATGTAAAATACAGTGCCATAACCAATACATATAGTAACGAGACAGGCCAAAACCAGTAATCGTTACACTCTTGTGAAGGTCTGCAGTGTGTGGAGTAAAGTGTCTCCGAGTAGGCGTCACTACACTGTCCGCATAATTTACCAGAACGGTAACCCTGACAACCATTATATTCAGGGTAATCGTTTATATCAGGTGAGCGACAGTAACCCAACGGACACAAAGTAAATTGTAGCGTTGAAGTGGTATCCTGTTCTTCAAAGCCCCAAAAGTTATTTTTGGCGATTATATTTTCAGAACAGTTTGCTCCAAACGGGCACGGTAGACATTGAAATCCTGGTATTAACTCGTTTCCAAAGGCACCTCCCCGATTCAGACTATACTTTCCCTGTGGACATGTCAAACAGTAATATCGTAGAGAGCGAATGTCTACTGCGATACTGCATGTGTCATTTATCGTTTGTACTTCACAAGTTGTAAAATTAGTAATATCCATCTTCATACCAAGTGGACAATAAAACCTTGTCAAATTATTGTCTCCAAGATCTATCAATCCAACATTCTGAACCAGCAAGAGATAACTAGTTATGATGCTGTCATACATTCGTTTAGCGTCCATTGTGGTGTTGTGAATAACAAGTGCTCCTGAAGTTTCAGAGTGAAGAAAAGACCCTATGGTGTACCTTTTTCTCACTAGCTGCAACTGGTTTATAGTTTGATTGAAAACAGTGCTTTGCAAATGAAGGCTGGATGAACCAGTTCCAATGTATATGTGACCGCCAAGGTTTGCTGCGAAATTGTCACTAAAGGAGCAATTTCGAAATGTTGCGTTTCCGTATTTCAAATATATCGCGCCACCCATAACTGCAGCATTTCTCAAAAACGTTGTATTTTCAAAAAGAAAATAACTTCTGTAATCCCATAAGCGAAAGTTTCTGTTACCACGAGACTTGCATGACCAAAATATATCTAGTGGGAAACATTGTGGATCAACCTCGGTGTCTGTTCCTACAAAGATGATCACTGCTCCTCCGTAGCTATTTTCATTCGGCGCAAAAACCGAGTTCTGCGCGAATTTAGATCCTTTGATTTTAACGTTGACATACGCGGAATCTGTGGCTTTTATGGAAATAGCACCTCCTTCTAGACTAGCAGAACAATTCTTGAATGTAGCGTTATATATTTCAACAGATAAGGACTGTCCTTGTTTACCGAAGATATTCATGGCGCCTCCAAATCCCATTCCCTTTTTAAGTGGACCCAAATAGTCGATCCGGACATGATTGCCGTCAAAAACGGAATCAAACACTCTCAGTTTACTCAAGACCATTGCTAGCGCTCCGCCATAAGAGCCTCTATTTTTTAAGAATCGAGATCCGAGTATGCTAAGAGTTGCATTAAAACCGATAAAAGCGCCTCCATAGTATCCTCCGCTATTAGACTCTATGGTAACGTTTTCAAAAACGATATTGCTTTCTTTGAGAATAAATGTGACGATAGGTGTTCCATTATTGTGTAAGAAGACAGAGTTATTAACTGTAACATTGCAGACTCTTTTTGTCAAATTTTGTGGGGAATAAACAGCAACAGCACCTCTATGATTGGAAATAAAATCGCTGTTATTTATAACAATTTCTATTTGGGTTGCATTTGCTAAAACACTCAATGAGCCCCCAGTCATGTCAGTAGTCTTCAGCGCCTGTCTACATCGCTCAAAACGGGAACCTTCTACAATCAAAAGAAAATCTTTGCCCGGCTTTCTTTTTAGGTCCGACGTTAATACATCTATTAAAGCCCCTCCTCCTCCATGCCTTTGCGCGTTACTAGAACAGCCAATGAACGCAGAGTGACGCAGTCTCATCAAAACCCTCGTAGCCTTGACATGTATACCTCCTCCCCCAGCGGAACTGCTAGCGTTAATAAAAACGCAGTTAGTGACGCTCAAGTGAAATTGCGTGTCTCGTCGAATAATGTATTGCACGCTATTATTGTCGTCTGTCGAGTATTGAAAATTCTTGTAGATTGACCCTGATGTGTAAATGTAAAGCGCTCCCCCTTTACCATTCTTCGCAGTGTTGTTGGTGAAACTGTCATTGAAGAAACTAACCTTGTGAACAGTGGCAGATTCAATGGAAATTGCTCCACCTTCATCAGCAGCTGTATTTACAAAAAACGAGTTATACACGTTAAACGCATGAAGATAATTTCCTCTCAAGGATATGGCTCCGCCACTCCCGACCACCCTTTGGCTAGTAAAACTGGAGTTATAGATCGCTACTGAAATGTTGGAGGCAATGATATTAAAAGACCGTGCATGTTGACTTCTGAAGTTGCTTGAATTGATTGAAATTGTTACTTCGTTGCAGTTAACGATGCATTCACTGTAACCACCCATCGTAAAAGCTTGGTGCGACGAAGGATAGTTGTCAATAACTGTCACATTGTGAAGTTTAATGAACTGCCTGGCTTTTCTTGTATCTACCCAAATGAGACCTTTCGGACTAAGCATGTTTCGGTGAAATACTGTGCTTTCCAAGATCACATTACAACTTACAGATTGTTTAGTTGAAGATAATGCAGCAAATGATATAACTTTCCCGTCATCTGACAAAAAGTTGTCTTCAAAAAGGGAACTTTTAATCTTAAATGTTACTTGAGTTCGTTGAAAAGAACTGCTTTTACTGTTGACATTTACAGAGATACATTTTCTGTTCCTAGAGAAGGATGAACTTACAATCTGAATGTCCACAAACATCCTGGAGGAAATATTGATTTCCACACCCCGTACGCTGTCTTGGAATTTACAACCATGAACATAAACGGACGAGTCTTGGAAGCTGACAAAGCTGTTGTTTACAAGAAGTCCTGATATAGTTATTTTCATTTGCTCCTCGCTATCAGAACCGTTGAATATCAAACCTGTTCCTTCAGAGCATTGTATCTGAGGCATAGGACTGGCAGAACCAATCAGAGAGAGACTCTTGTGGGTGTAAATCCCCGGATGCTGTGACGTTCCTGATGAACAGTTGTAAGGGTCTTTGTCAGTGTTAGTGCCGTCTAAGTAAATTTGATCCCCACTTAACGCTAACTTGACAACTCGCCAGATGCTTTTACAAGGTCTCTGCAGATCACATGACCATGTGTCGTTGCCCAAGGCTCGAGAAATGTATAAGCTCTTACCCTCTGTCACAGTTTTTGAAGAAAGGAGAAACGAAGAACAATATATTAGTGAGATAATATCATAAGTGACAAATTACTCCTTAATTTTGGTGCGATATTTCAGCGTTACTTTGTAATTTCAATTGTGAAGTATTTACGCAGGCTTTTTGAGCAAAATGAGAACTTCAATGATTGTTTATCGGCAAAAAGGCGACCATTATTACATCCAACACGGCACAACGATCTTTTTTCCTATTACAATCTTTTTCTAGGAAAACTTAAAGTAAAATTGACCCGAAACGCGCCCGTAAATACTGATGCGAATACATCGGATCGTGCTCATGCCCCTCGGGCATCCTATAATACTCCTTAAATCCAAGTAATTCAATATGGCCGCCGTATCGGTAAAAATGTGTAATTTTCACCTATGATATTACACATACTAAATCCCCAGGGGTCGGCTCAACAAAGTTTTATTCAGTAAGGTTTTCATTCTTGAACCAAAGCAGTGACATTGGTTTGAGCTGGGACTTTCATCTCCTTCAAATTTGCTCATTCAATGCTGTAACATGGACACATGTAAAGTTTGACGTCTGAGCCTGGTCTATAATATTAAAACCTGGTAGTGATGAGAAACGTGATGGAAACTTGCTTTTAAATGAATTCCCGTCAGTTATTTTGAAAATAAAAGTTGTTTGCTCTTTGAAAAGTAATGACCACCATAGTAATGAGCCCCTGAAACTGTCGTGAACCAGATGTGACTCTTTTAGTATCACATTAGTGTTATCTTTTATTGATTGACATTTGAAATCAGAGTAGCTGAAAAAGAGAGTAGTGCAAATTTACCTTTTGTTGAGTTCGGTCGGAGAGGAAATGTACGAGCGGAGGGTGATTTAAAGAAAAGAAGGATTTATGACTTAAGCGAGCTATTTTGTGCCCCACAAGTTTGACTGGGTTTTGACATTAAGAAAACGCCCGGTTCTCTCCGCCCCGAGGTCTAACCCGTTACCCTTTCATATTGCAGGTTTTCACCGTCACGCCATCAAAAATAAAAGTCTAAAGCGTTTTGTTGATTAAGTCCTGAATCTGGGAAAGGAAAGGAGGTGAATAAACAAAGACCCTCGCCAAGATTCAGGTCAGTGCAATTTTTCATAAGCGAGAGACGTCATGGAGACGTCATGTTTTTGGTCATCCGAATGGGCACTAATATGGCGGTCGGAAACCAACAGAAACATCTGTCACTGAGTTTTGCTACGAAAACATGAATTCATCTCTCAAGGAACTCATAACCATTGAAAAATACTTTTTCTAATACAATGACTGTTTAGATAACAAAATCCGTCAAAAGAAGTCACTTTTTTAACCTGTGCGACAGCTCTCTAGGCCGCCATGTACATTACGCGTCACGCAAGAGCTTAGAAATTCGAGCGTATTCTATCACAAAACGAAGAACTCTTTCGAAGTGAAAATTTGTATAAGTGATTGATTTGGAGCTGCTCTAATGCTTCCTGAAAGCAAAAACTCGGAAGGATCAATACATTGGTTAAAGTGAATTTTGATGACGTTGTGCGAAAACCAGCAATACCGTTTTTGTCAGAAAAGGTACCCCTCTGGTATACCTTCTATTGACAAATGTTAACCCTTTCACATACTTAGTTTAGACCTGAATGCGTCCCTTTTAACTGCTGTAAATGGACTGTCTTGAACATACGAATAAAATCACATAACCAGAACGTTTTCTCGACTTTTTCACAGCCATAAAATGCATCTATTAGCTCTTTTGGGCCTTTTAACAGACCAGAACGGCAGTTTTTCCTACCCTATCATATACTTCAATCAGCGAAATCCCCAGCCTTTTATATACTTGAAGCCTCAAAAGGGTACCCCTTTCGGCGGAGCTTCCCCTGTTGGCAATTATAGGGATTATCCCCCGGGGGGTTAAATCAATACAAATCGTTTCGAAACGTGCGGGAAACGTATAGGTTACTTCCCTCCGAGACAGTCGCTGTACAAAGACAGACATACAGTAACCTCATATCCAAGCTAACGCATCTGGCCTTATATTATAATAATAGTAAACTGTTTATTGATCACCTTTACAGTTAAAAGAACTGAATTGCATTCAGGGATAAAGTACAAACTTGAAATATTTAAACTACTTAACAATGCTATACATATATACTACTACTTTTAGCATTTACAAACTGTAAGCTTGACTGGAGGTAATAAATGAGCCAGAACACTTCGCAACTGCTGCCGCCGCTGCTGCTGCTGCTGTCGCCCGCTCCAAATATAAGCCCCCCGGGGGCTTGTACTTGGAAAATTGCCCTCAAATACAAAGTAAAACGAAGAAAAACAGTAAATTTCCTACCAAGAAAAAGGCTAGCCCAATCGATTTTTAAACGCAAATTTCTCTCCGTACATAAGCCCCTCCAAAAATAAACCTCTCAAAAAGGGCCTTTTTCGAAAAATATAAGCCCCGGGGCTTATTTTCGGAATTTTACGGTATTCTAAAATAACAGGTCTTATGGTGGTTAAGTAGACTTTAAGGATTAGTCTACTATAAGGTACTCCTGCTTTCTTCAATACTAGCAATGAGAATAGGGGCTTTGAGGCCTTCTTAAAAGTATAATCGATGTGATAGTTACTTATATACACTCCGATGAGTTTACAGATGGGGACGCGATCCGCAACGTTATTGCCAAAAATTATGGGTGACAATAAAAAGTTATGATTATGCATGAAATTAACTAACATTTCTTTGCACTTTTTAAGGTTTAAACTCATATTGTGGTCACTAGAAAAATTGTAAATGCCATTAGCAACTAGATTGAATAGGCTGCATCCGTTCCTAGGCAAAATGTCGAGAGCTGTGGTGTCCTCAACAAATTTAATTCTCAATTTCCAGTCCTTCAGTGGATTGTTAGTCATTACCGTAAACAGGATACCACCAAGTTTTGTCCCTGAGGGACGCCACCTTTGAGGAATTTCGCACTAGAGGGCATAGTCTAATGAACCTTTGTTTGTGCTGTAGACCGTTCTTTATCGTATATCTTTTATATTTTTTTATGTGGTCTTTTTAAATAGCCACACCATACCAAGTCATATTAATTTCCACTCATTATTTTACTTCATATATATTTCTGTAAATTCGTGATATCTCAATGAACCTGATAAAGACTGGTATCGGCCAGTCGAAATATTGCAACATAACTCTGTTTCACGTTGTTTGATCAGTCCCTGCAAAAGTCTTCTTGACTGTAACGTTTTTAATTTGATTTATTTTGTCTGGATCCGACGTTGAGCAAGATTAATCGTACACAGTTTTTGCAGTGGTTTTTTTTTTTTACCGTAACTAAACATACTGTTCTTTATGTATGGACGCAGACTTCTGTCCACAGGAGCCCACATAAAACGTAAGTATGGGTATACAAAGCTGTGCAGCTGTTTCTCGAAATTTACAGAGAGCCGGTTAAAAAAATTGAATCTTAGGCTGCGTTTCTTTACTAAAATCCAAGATCAGATCAAAAATCCGGATCATTAGGATTTTTCGTTAGGAAAAGAAACGATGTATCCATAAAAGGATTATTTTTTCATCCAAACGACCCACAATATCGACGATATCCCGGAGAAAGAATAACACGGCTGCTAACAATGTTGCAAGTTGCAGATCTTTCACTGTGTTCTGACGATTAGGTTAAGGATACTGTTTTGAACGGGCCAAATGAAGACGAATCTTTGCAATAAGATATGTACTGGAAAAGTAAATCCTCACAAGACACGCGGGCGAAGTTGTGTGGCAGTTTTGTCTTGAGAACTAGAACAATGCAGGTCCTGTTTGTATTTTACGCAATTTTACCACTTCGATAAAGCGGATAAAATTGATCGTTTAATCCATGCCTTGGGTTAAAGAATGGCCGTAAAAATGAGCAGTGTAGTCAAACAGCTGATGTATGTATTAAAATTGTTTCGAGTTATCGATGGCAGTATTCCTTTTTTCGGATCCGTATATAGTAAAGAAATGCTTCGGACTTACAGTAAAAACCCACATATAACAACCTAGAATTTTCGAGGGCAAGCTGAACAGGTTCATATATTTTAGGGTAGGTTTTCAAAATTCAGGCTGATTAGCTTTTTAACCACTGACAGAAATATGGTACTAATAATACATAATGGCAAACAATCAAGGTCCAAGAAGAACATCTATACATTTCTATACTTTTTAAATAAGGTATTAAGATCTTGAATCGTCTATATTGAACGGTAGCTTTATGTAAAACATACTTGTGAAAATCCAACCAAATGTAAATAAAAGAAAACATATACACAAGAACCTGTTGTCAAAAGTTTCTCACACAATTAAAATTGTGAATTTTGACTTTTTTGCTTAAGAATTTTTCTTTGCCAGGCTGAACAGGTTCTCATATTTTTGGATATTTAAAGGCCAAATTTCTGCCTGTAGGTTCTTAAATCACTATGTTCTTACATGCGGGTTTTTTCTGTATTTTCTGTTGGATCGAACAGGCGAATCACAGCACAAGACAGGAATATAATAGCTGTAAGACTTGGCCAACGATTCTGTTGATTCGCGATATATGGCCACTCAGGAGTATCCGTTATGACAAGAATGAAGACCGAGAATGAAGGGGAAAATTTTCTTAGTTATTAATCAGGATTTGTATAGACATATATGTTAATCATATTACGCCAGTATTAAATTTATCCATTACGAAACGGGCTCAGTATTGAAGAGATATTATAGTCAAGGTGCTCCAAATATTTGATCACTTATAAGAATATGGGTGCTAATTTTACGGTCCAAAGTCATCTTACCTGTGGAAATGGAACACAAAAGAAAGAAGAGTGCTACAAAATTGAAATTTTCTTTTCGCATCTTGCTTGCAGAGGCTTCGCCGGTGACTACAACTTGTAGTTCTTCAAACAGAACGGACCCGGCAGTCAAAGGATAGTCACAAGTTTTCCTAGTGT